TTTTTATTTTCTTTGATTCTTTATAGCAATTTTAGAGAATACAGAAAATTATAAAAAACAACAATGAAGGGGAAAAAATGAATCATTCTCATAATCTCATGGCCTGAGATAACTATATTTTGGTATATTTTCTTGCCAGTGTTTTCTTTTTAGCACAGAAGTCTACACAACAGATTTTTTTCCTGCTACAGGCAATGAAAGAATAAGGGAACAAGAGGAGGGATGAGGAGGCGGAGGGAAAGGAGACATGAGAGGAATAAAGATGTGCTTTGTACAGGATCCTAGTAACTCTAAGCAATGTAAACATTATATGCCATAACATGTGCTGAGACCAATAATATCAACCAGTACAAAAAAGGTGAGGGAGAACCAGAGGATGCGGGAGAAGGAGGGAAGGGAAAAGGGGTTAGAAAAATACAAGCTATAGTATGTACTTGTTACCACTCCCCAGGATGACTGTAAACTGCGTGAACTGTAAACTTGTGCTAATAAAATAAAATTGAAAAGAATAAATAATACCTATAGGCACTGAAGGTGCTTCCTCTACCCCTTCCTCATGAAAAAGCAAACAGAAGGAAAGGAGTCACTATCCCAAGTGTTCATCCCTACTGCCCATTTCTTGGCTTTGAGGAAAGAGAAAGGCACAAATTTTCTTAAAATGAAGTCTTTGGAAGTGAGTGTTCCTTGAAAGTATTCAAATGATTAGTTCAAAAAGAATAAGCCAATCTTTACCAAGGTTTAGTCAAAAGAAGGAAAAAGTATAGTCAATCAGATCATAGTGATAAAGTCAGACATAAAATTGACAGTATGTATTTACCATCCGTTGGCACCTCCTCTCCTTTCTCTTGAGATAACTCTTCCTGCCTTTGAGCATTCTATTCATCACAATCCAGAAGTATTTATGATCTATCTTTTCTTAAAGGGGAAGATTACCATAATCTGGTTTCCTCCCTCTCCAGAATTATGAACACAAATGAGTACAAAATATTAATAGCAGTCATAAAAGGACACAGACAGAGGAGAAGCGGGCAATGCTATTTGTCAGTAACATTTTTAGCAGTTAAATTTTTGCCTATTCTGTAAAGGATTAAAATGCCCCTAACCAGGTCACAATACCAGGGAAAGTATGATTCCTTCTGTGTGCTGTCAAATTCGGTGTGAAAGACATGGGTAGGGTGGATCAGGAACAAGGTAAGCACAGGAGCAAGTAAGGTGAGGCCACTCATGTTGTACATGAAGACAGCAGTAATGAAAAACCTGGAAGGTCTAGTTGGTAATTATATTTAGGTATATTTAGGAGTTAACATAGACAACTCTCTGCGTTAATAATTTCACTCATTGAAAAAATGACTCGTGTCCAACTTTCCCATGAATGACTGGGGACACACACACACACACACACACACTGCCTTTCTTCCTGAGTTTCCATAGTTTCCATACCCAGTTTTCCTGGGTATCTAGAAGAAAATGCTATTTCAGCAAGCCCTCTAAAGGCAGTGCTTTCCCACAGAAGTGAGAAGGGTCCAGCTCTTTTCTAAATGAGGCTCAGTGAAATCAAGTGATTTGATCAAGGCCACACAGCCTGCAGTGGAAAAAAATTGGGATCCTATCTCCCAGGTCAGTGCTTATTCTAAAGCTGTCCTTTGTTCATCTGCTAGGTTTCATTCCATAAACTGAAAGGAAACATCCCACTTCTCTAAGAGCTTAGGTATCTTTTAAAGGGCCACAGAAAGAAAGAGGAAAAATGAAAGGGGGAGGGTAAGGAGAATTGCATGTCACATTTCAAAGGACAGAAGAGAAAGATTTGAAAAGCCTTTTGGAATTTCCCTCCTATGGCTTAAGGGCAGGGTCAAGGGGTCTCTGAGCTGCCTGCATCTCTCTCTCTCTCTTTCTCTCTCTCTCTCTCTCTGTGCGTGTCTCTGTCTCTGTCTCTCTCTCTTTCTCTCTCTCTCTTTCTCTCATTGGCAAGATAACTTTTAAGGGCGCTTTCTCAAATTTACTCACAGAGTGTGGCAAAGCCTAGACTAGGAGTAAAAGCTTCCAAGTTGCATTTTCTCTGCCAACTCCACTGTTTGTTTCTTATGCAGAACAAGTATGGCATTTGTACTTGCTGGCAAGGACAAGGAATATGCTTTAAAATAATGACATTCCTCTACTCTGGCCTAACAGCCATCTTGTTCTCAATAAACTTAACTAGGTAATTCATTGTGGCAGTAGGCAAATCAAAGCAGAAGCCATTATTGAAAGTTGAGTGTGCTCTTTCATCCAGGCAATTGTGAACATTGGTTATTATAAGTGCCTAACTAACTCAACACTGCACACTGAATAATGGAAGGGTAGGAGAAAAAGAGACCCAGGAGAAGTGAAAAATGTAAAGAAGTAAGCCAGAATACAGAGAGGAAAACAATATAAATTTGTGTAACAAAAAATAAAATAACAACAAAAAAGAAAACATTAGTGATTTTTTTTGCAGTAGCAAAGTAGTAGGATATTTTTGTGGAGTAAGGGATTTCTTGTCCCAAGAAAGTTATCTACATTTATCTAAAGAATTTGGTTGCTCATGGGCTGAGGTAGGAGAACCACTTCAACCCAGGTCTACAAAATAACTTGGGAACCACCGACAAAATGAATTGAAAATGAGTTTGTTGTGTAATACACTGTAACATAAATGTTAAGAACTAAGCAGAGTGATCATTAATTATGAATCTGTAGGTATATCATTCCATAAAAATCTTAAGTGAATGCATATCTATCCTCAAACAGCTCCAGAGAAAATAATACATTACTATTTATCATGAAAGGAGAAATCCACAGAACCATCACACTTTCTTTTTCAAGTTGAAAAGCTCCAGAATATACTTATATTAAGGTGGAGGTGAACTTTAATTATTTGTTTTCTAAAATATTTTACTTTAAATGACACGCTTTGGGGAAATCTGCTGCCATAAGTCAAAGATGTTTTCTCTGTTGCCTTATCCTATTTACCTTAGGATTTGGTTTCAAGTTTCAGGGCTATCTCTTTGCATAAATCTAAACCTATCATTATTTCAAAGACAGAAACAGTTCTGCAAAAACGCCAGAGGCCTTTTCCCACCTCCCAAGGGCCCTTGCTCTCAAACTTTGTAAACTGGGAATGATGGTTGGAAAAGGTCAGCTCCAACCCTTGTTGAGCCACCTTCTGTCACTACCCTCAGCCACTCAACTAAAGGCTTAGCTTTTAGTCACTGCCTGGGGGCAGTCAGGTGAAGACAAAGGGCCTCTCTTTACCCAAGGAATTGGCTCCCTTTATTCTTGGATGTTTTCAGTTCTCTTGACCCTCAGAAAAACTGTTCGGTCTAAATAGGAAAGAAATCTGCTACAAAGGAAGCCACACTTCACCCTCTTCTACTGACTTGCACAGCGCTGCCTGACACCAGAAGGAGGACCCAGGTGAACTCTCTGAAGTTAAATATGTTTTACTGGGAAAAGTTGTGGGAAAGAAAAGGAAATTCTAGAGAAAGGATTGTGCATGGATTATGGTTGGAAAGAAAAGACTTCAGAGGTCAGATATCTTGTGTCTCACATTTTAGAATTACTGCACTGAAGACTTCTGAGAGACTCAGATTCCTCAGTAAAATTAGAGGGAAGACAGCAATTTTACAGGCGATTATGAGAAAAGAATTAAAGTGGACATGATTTTTAGGGCCCTAGAACAATGTTTTGTTCTTTTTCAGGTTTTCCTTACCCTCCTTTCTAACAAATCAGTCAGTTAAGGGACCCAATATTTTCCAAAGATTCGTACTCCCAAGTGGCCTGCCTGAAGTCATCAGATTTCAGAAAAATTCAATTTGGAAAAAAAAAAAAAAAAAACAACTGCAGGCTCTTGTCTCGGGGTGGAGCTCAGCAGCAGAGTACGTGCGTAACATATGCAAGGCCCTAGGATCAATGTCCAGTAACATACAAAAAAGTAGGTACATTAAAGTAAGCAGAGGAACCTAAATTCCAACTTTAAATTAATTCAATCTGCATTTCCAGGGAAGAATCAGCCATGACTACCATACTCTAGTTGTTGATATGCCCAAATATCTAATGGTAAATTGACTCTATCTAAGCAATAAAGTGGTTGTCTTCCCTACCTCCCAAGATATTTGCATTTTTCACCAACAGTTTTACCAAGAAATTTCTAAAAGTCCCCGTTTTGAAAGCCACAGATAACTTCTTTGAAATATTACAGTTGGAGGAGTCTGGGGGAAGCAAGGAGGACTTTGCACTTTGACTTTTTTTTTCTGTGCTTTTAAAACATTTCCTACAGACCTTTAGCATATACATACCAACATGTTGTGATCGCCTGGCATCTTTTGTTTTCCCCACCTTGTGTCTTATTTATCTTTGTATCCCTATCACCTGACATGTAGTAACCCTTCAAGAACTTTGTTGAATGAATGATCCTTAGCTTACTTCCTGAAAAATATATAACACTTCGATTCTAATTGATATTTCTGTTGTTTTGGTTTTTGTCCTTTTGAGACAGGGTCTTGCTATGCAGTTCAGGGTGTCCTGAACTCACTTTGTAGCCCAGGCTGGTCTCGAATTTGCAACACTCCTCCTGCCTCAGCCTCCAGAGTGCTGGGATTACAGGCGTGGACCACCATGCCCAGGTCTAATTGAGGTTTTTAAAGAAAAAATATTGTTAATTTCTCCTGTAGCTGATGAAGCATTTGGAGTGACATTTTAGGGAAAGGATTATTTTGTCACCGAAGTGTATTTGGCTTAGGGACACTTTGGCTATTGGACAAATGGGCCACCAGTGGCAGAGGCAGGAGCATGCTTGTAATTAATGAGTAGGTCAAGAGCCACGTTAGCTCCGATATTTGGTGCACGTTACCTTTGCATTTTTATGAGACCTTCTTAAACAGTGCACTGAAAATGCAGATTGATACTGTGATTACAAATTTGAAGGTGTGTGCGAGGTAAGTCTCTGTCCTTAGATACAAGACTGCAGCCAATACTACTATACTTACCCTTCCTGAGCCAAAGGTCTTATACTGTGTTCTTCTCCAGCTTGAACTAAAAAAAGAAATTCCACCCTGTTAGTATAATCAGGAAGTATAAATAATCAGAATGCCCGAGCCCATGTTTATGCCTGAGATGTACACTAAAGTCACAAGTGATATGCTTAGAATATCTTTTGTCTTATTATTAATGTGCTAGACACTTAAGCGGTAGTTTTTTTCTTTTAAATTGTCAACCTGTTTTCCAACTATTATGACACTAAGTCTTCCTTCCCTGAGCAATGCCAATATCAAATGGGACAAGAAGCATGGTGACACTTTTTCCAAACCCGATATTTCCTCACTTTAAAATCTATTGGACAAATGGATGTCTGTTTGTTAAATAAATAAATTAATTAATTAATGCTATTGGACAAATGGGCCACCAGTGGCAGAGGCAGGAGCATGCTTGTAATTAATGAGTAGGTCAAGAGCCACGTTAGCTCCGATATTTGGTGCATAGATGTACTGATCCTTTGCTATTTTGTAAAATGTTGTCTGTCTGTTAGTATTTTCCTCCTTTTATTTCTAAAATAATAAAAAAAAGAGCCACGTTAGCAAAAAGCCCAAGCCTAGGTCTTGGCCCCCTTCAGTATGTAGTTGATTTGGGGAAAAAATTGAAAGGGAAGTGATCCTGAATTTTGCCTTAATCATTCAGGGTTCTAACATATGGGCCAAGTGTTTCTGTCCTGGACAAATTGTCTTCTCTATTGTTTGGCAGATAGGAAGAGGGAAGCAAAGTACTACTGAAAAATGGGTCCCCTGGATGGTTATTACCCCCCATCTTTTGTCATTAGTGTGAAATTATTCCCTACTAGAAGAAAAGATATGGAGTCACCTTAATTCTAAAGACTGAGACTTTATTCGTATGGGAGTCACATTCCTGTTACAAAGCTGTATCTTTGTATGCATAGTTCAAGGGTTTTCTCTGTGAAGGGTTACCTGAAACTCTTGTCGTCAGTGCTTCCAGCAGAGAAAAGGTGGCCTGAGTTGGGGCTCTGCTGAAGCCCCCACTGCAGGTGACATTTCCACCGCCCCAGCCTGGACCCTGTCCCTGGTGGGAGACTGGCCAGGTTTGACCCACTCCTCCTTCCATCCCACCCCACCCACTTACCCTCTTCCTTCTTCCAAAAGCTCAAAGCTCTAACGTGGGGCTCTAAAGAGAAAGGGAATCTGCAGCGGGGTCTGCCTGGCTCCCCACCCTCTTGAGCCCCAAGCCAGGGGAAGAGTGAGGAGCCCGGGGAAGCCCAGGAGTTCCCTTCTGCAGACGTACCTGGAAGTGCGGGTACGGTCTTGGGAGCTCTGTCTTCTCTTCCCTGAAGTCCGCCGCCGCTGGCAGGCGGCAGCCCCTCCTTAGGCTCTGTCCACAGCGACTTGGCCCGGCCGGCTCCGGGAAGAGCCTCTGCAGTGCAGCTCGGGCCGCACCGTTGCCTGGCAACCGGCCAGCCCGATTTAAAGGGACCCGGGCACTGGGGACTCCCTGGGCTGGTAGATTACTGCCTGTCCGGTGGTCAAAGCCTGACCAGAGCACTGAGCATGCCCGGAGGGGCGGGCACCTCAGTGGCTTCTGGCTGGCAAGAAGTAATAACACTCCTGGAGGGAAGGGGTGACAAACAGCAAGACATCCCCACCCACAGGTGGGGTCTGTGTGACTCATAAAGCCACCTGGAAACGGACTAGACGGGTGGAGAGGGAGTAGTATGGGGTTAATCCCGGGCTTCTTGTTAGTAACAGGACATTCAGGAGGTTTGCTCTGGAAGGTCACCTGGATTTGGTCCAGGGTTCCTAGCAATGTGGGAGACATTCCCCACCTCCCTACCCAACATACAGTAGGCAGGTCAACACAAGGGTTTCCTTCAGTTAACAAAACTCTGCCCTGGAGCTGTGCCCCAATGGGTGATGGGGCTTCTATCTCAGTCCACAGTCTTTACCTATTACTCGGGAATTTCTCTAAACCACTCTGGTGGCTATTGGAATGTAAAACCTATAGGGGACACAAGTTCAACAGTAAGGGGAGTGTAAAATTGTTTGCTTTTATTGGTCTCCCAAATAATCCCTTCATGCTGCAAAGTTTGCTTGCAACTTCCAGAATAAGGTTGGGTGACAAGTTCACATTTTCGTATTATATTGTTGGTTTCAATCACGGTGTTTCTTTGAACAAATAAATGATTTCAGACTTTCGATTTACCTGTTTACCCAGAGATTCTTCAGTCATCACAATGGATCTGGTCAAGGCTATCTGACCTGAAATAGATTGAAATGGGATATCTGAAATAGTAAGAAAAGAGATTTGAGAGGGCCAGGGATATAGTTCAGTGGCATAGGCACCTGGCTGGCAAGCACAAGTTCTTGAGTTCGATTCCCAATACCAAAATAAAATAAAATAAAATAAAATAAAATAAAATAAAAGAGATTTATAGGAAAGCTAGTATTTTCTGGAAGCATGAGAATGAAAGAAAATTTGGCTCTGGGATGTCAAGTAAAAGGAAGTTTAAGCATATTAAAGAAGTGACAATCTAATTTATCAAGCCCTAACAAAGGAGTGGCCTAGGACAATACCGGGATACATTTTAAACTTCTTGGGAACCGGATCTAACAGGCATTTGGGAGCTGGCATGGTTGCATTGGGTACTCTGAGGTCTGATTTCAGTCTCTTTTCCTCCTTAGAGAACCAAAGTCAACAAGGGCTGTAGAGAGGAAGAGCCCTAACATCAGCATGTGTTTTATTATGGGCCCTGTCAGAATCAGTTTCTGAGATTCTGACAAAACTTTCCTTGATGCTAAACCTCCACGTTGTTTCCCGTTTATCATTTAATTATCTCAAAATTTATCTCTATTTTTGAGTGATGTGAGATTCCCTTACTGATATTTGAAGGAATCTTTTTTAATTGCTCTGTGCCTCAGTTTCTGTATTTCAAAATGGAAATAATAATTGTATGTGACTCACAAGAGTGTTGTGAGGATTAAGTTAATATTTGAAAATTCTTCAGAAGAGTGTCTGACACAGTAAATTCTATGTACATTTTTTCTACTATTATTATTACCTGACCCAATAGAGTCATTATTCTCTCAAATCCTTAATAAAGACACACTGGGGACTGGGGATTTAGCTCAGTGGCAAAAGCGCCTGCCTGGCAAGCGCAAGGCCGTGAGTTCGGTTCCCGGTACCGGAGAAAAAAAAACAACAAAAAAAAGACACACTGATGGTGATAATTCAAGGTATGCTCAAAAAGTGTCTGGAATTCCAAGGCTCAGAATTCCAAATCTTTATCTCCAGTAGAGTTCCAGACTCCTAGTGAGCAATCCCATCCTAGACCCATGTTGCTGAAAAATGGCACAGAAGACTACCTTGACATTGCTACAATTCTATTAAATGCAGAGGGTCACTCCTTCATCCACTACAAGTATTAAGAGGAAGGGAATCAACAGCAATTAGGACAGAGAGTTGTATTATTCAAAGTTACCACAAACTTGGAACAATATGAAAGTCAGAAAATCCTTTATTCTTCTCTGGGACCTTTATCAATATTACGGCAACAAGACGCTTGATAATAATAGAATCACACAGTTATACAATGGAACATGATCTTCTCATGTTATCATGCAAGGGATTAAGACACAGAGAGATGAGGTGATTTACTCGATCACACAGCCGAATAGGCTTATTGTGATTGCCCTGGCATATGATCCTAGTTTAAGTAACCTCAAACCTGGGAAACTTAGAGCAATGGAAAAAACATACATTTATAGGCATATATTACATGTGGGTAAATATCTGCACAAGCCATACAGATAAGAAGAGCCAACATGTACCATAGCCCATATCTTATCATCAGCTGTGTCTTCTTGATGTATCTAGACTCTGACAGCTGCTCACCATCTCTGCCATTACCAACCTGGTTTTGACCCTCCTCATTCCTTGACTGGACTATGACAACAGCCTCCTAACTGCCTTTATACTTGATCTGCATTCATATCCAAGGATTCTTGTAACAGAGTATCACAAACTGGCAAGCTTAAGATGACAGATATTTATTCTCTCACAGTTCCTTTTTTTCTTTTTTGGTACCAGGCATCGAACTCAGGATCTTGGGCTTGCCAGGAAGGCACTGTGCTGCTGAGCTATACCCTCAGCCCTCCCTCACAGTTCTGAAGGCTTAGAAATCCAAACTGAAGGTCATTGGGACTTGGTTCCTCCTGCAGGCTGAGAGATAATCTGTGTGTCTTAGTTTCTGTTGGCTACCAGCAGTCCTTGTTCTTCCACAGCCTGCATATGCATCATTCCAATCTCTGCGTCCCTGTGTCTGTGTCTTCACATGGCTGTCTTCCCTCTGTGTGTGTCTGTGTGCCTAATTCCTCTCATCTTATGGGGAGATCAGTTGTTGGATTAAAACTCCATCTTAACCTAATATGACCTTATCTTAATTTGATTACATTTGTGAATACCCAATTTCTAAATAAGGTCACATTCATAGGTACTAGGGTTTAGGATTTGAACACATCTTTGGGGAAAATACAATCCAACCCACAATACCTACTCATTGCCATTTGCATGAAGGGAGGATTGATTTGTTCACTGATGCATTCTAAGCACCGAGACCATGCTTGGCACTTGGTAGGCATTGAAGAAATATTTGTTCAATGGATAAGTGGATGAATAAATGAATGAATTATGCTCATATCATGTATCAAGAGTGTTTCATTTCAGCTCCACAATTTTACGATATAGCTACTATCATCACCTACATTGCACAGACAAGAAAAATAAGGCATGCAGAAGACAGACAACCTGCCTAAATTCAAATACTTAGTAAGTGATGGAGCTGAGGTTTGAACTCAGGCAGGTCTGGCTCTGGAGTCTTTCAGTTGCTGGCCAGCACTAATGTGTAAAGGACACGTTTAATCATTAGTGTCAATAAGACCCGAGATCCAGGTATCTTTTGCTTTGACATTTATATTTTCCAATAGCGGGGCATAACAGTAACCATTTTTAAGCTGCTGATGTCATATTTTGTTAAAATTTATGTAATGATGTTTGTGCATTGCATTACAGAGAATCTGAAGACCATCTGTGTACAAACACCAGCTCTCCCACTTAGCTGCTCAATGTCCTTGAGCAGCTTGTTTAACTTCCCTGTATTCCAGCTTCTTCATTGGTAAACTGGGAATAATTATAGTATTACTTTTCAGAGTGGCTATGAAAATAAATTCGTTAACACATGTAAAGCAATTAGAACAGTGCTTATTAAATAGGAAATACTCAATGGATCTTCGCTATTAGTAGTAAGAGTCTTGTGCAGGTAACAAGTTTTGATTCAGTCTTGCCTATAATATCGAAGTTATCAGGCAGGCAAAACTTATCCTTGGTATTAAAGTCAATAAAATGGTTACCTTTTGTGTGGGGAAGTATAATGACCAGAAAAGAGAATAAGGCAGGTTTTCTGGTGTTTTGGTAATGTTCAATTTCTTGATCTGAGCATTGGTTATATGGATGCATTTAGTTTGTAGAAAATTATGGAAATGTACACTTAGGATTTGTACATTTTTCTCTGTTTAAGTGCCTTAATTCTTCTATTTAAAAGCAACTTCTATTTAAAACCACCACGTCCGAAGCCGGACCTGGTGGCAGGCACCTGTAATCCCAGCACTCGGGAGGCTGAGGCAGGAGGATCTTGCGAGTTCCAGACCAGCCTGGGCTACAAAGTGAGCTCAAGTTCAGCCTGAACTGCATATTGAGACCCTGTCTCAAAAGGAGCAAAAAAAAAAAAAAAAAAAAAAGCAACTGAATTCAGTCTCATATAACTTTCTCTTAATTTTTTTATTTCTTGCCTTAAATTTCTCCAAACTTCCATACAGTCAAGTAACATTTCCTGAGCATTTCAACGTGCCCGGCACTGGACTAAGAACAATAAGTATTGAGATAGACAAATGTATTAAGTGCAATGATGGAAATACAGTGGCATACCACATAACATTTCAGCCAAAAATAGACCACATATACAAGGCTATATCGCATAGTTCAGGTGTATTGTAGTCTATACCATCAGGGTTGTGTAAGTACATTCTATAATGCTCATACGCTAATGTGGTGACCTGATAATGCGTTTTCTAAAATGTATATTAGCTGTCATTGAGTGACATATGAGTGTACTCATAAGTAGGAAAGGGATTTGAGTCTAGGAAGTCTCAAGTTCCTTGGAATATGAACTATCTGAGCTGGCGCTTAAAGAATGAGTAGTTCTCCAGGCAGATAAGGGAGGTAAGAGCAGAAGGAATAGCTCATGCAAAGGCACAGACGCACAGAAGAACATGACAAACTAGAAAACTTAAAATAATTTCAGTTTACTGGAGTTGAAAGTGCAAGGCATGGAGGTAGGTGAAGATTGGGTGAGAGGAGCAGCCCACAGAAAAACATCTGACTTGTAGGTGAAATTATTTTGGTTTAAAATATTAGAGGGCTGGGGGTAGAGTGCAGTGGTAGAGTGCTTGCAGGGGCACTGGGTCTAGTCCCCAGTTTTCTTAGTTACTTCTCACCACTGAGGCACAATGCCTGACACTCACAAGTTAAAGTAGGAAAGATTTATT